AAATAACTTACTCAGTGATGGCTTCGTCGCTGGCCACTCGGCAAAGTACGCCCCTGTCCATTGAACACTTGCCGATCACTGGATCAGGCGGAGCCAGCTTGATGTAGGGCGGTTCCTCCAAAAAAGTGATCTTCAAATGGAACTTCTCCGGTACGCCTTGAGGCGGCGTGTGACTGTTTCCTGGCCACACGATGTCTTTGATGTCGAGGCCCTCGTTTTGCCACGACTTCCACACGCCAATCTATCGGAAACATGCCATAAAGGGTTTTCCCGATCAAAAAAGCGCCCATTTCCCCACATACGCCGAATATTCTCCTTCGCATATATATGCCTGTTTGTCTGCTCATTTGTCTCGCTAAGGCGTCGCCGTCTGCACTTCATAAATATTAATCAATGGTCTTCGACCCCGGCAACAGTCTTTGCATGTTTTCCGCCGTCTCCCGCTTTCCCGGCCCGAAACTTACATCAAACTTCAGCTTCTCGACTCATTATCCGCGTCTTAAGTGAAACTAATCGATTAATCGCTTGAACTGAACGCTCAGCTGCGATTGATTGGCTCATGAGTTGACTGAACTAATCCAACTTGCTAACAGCTGCTTTTCCCCTAATTGACACCCTGAGGGTGTAGGTGTTTTGATCCACGTCACCCTCAGAGCAGGCTTACTTTGTCAGTGCGACTTTCGCACCTGAGCACGAGACTCGATTTTCGCTGGAAAATCTGCAGATTTTCCTGGTGTTGGACACCTTTCCAATTAGTTTTATTACTAATTTAAACGCAGTGTCAGTGGCGCCTTAAGCCGGTTTTATTGGGATTAAAAAATGCGGCGTTTCTCATCACCGGGGCTTCTGGTCGGCAAATTGCGTTCAAAGCTAGTAATTATTTCCCGTCGCTGACATATAATTTACTGTGACCGAAATGGACGCTTTAATTCTAGCACTTTTATGGAAATTAATTGAAATTTTCCCCCGGATTGGCTGGAGGTGACGGGCGCAATTTCCCGCTGCCGCAAACAGTGACTTTGCCGCATGAAAACCCACCTCTTCCCATACCAGTTGCTTGCTGACGCCCGGCCTCAGGTTCATAATCTTCAGTTCGGCCGCCTTCAGCAAACCGTCGGGGGTGAATTCCAGGTTGGGCCGCCCCTGTTCTGCCTCCACGCTCACGTTGCGCAAATACGTGAAGAATCTGTCGCCGGTGTCCCAGCGCACCACTCCCTCACCATCACACGACAAGTGAGTGGTGAGCGAACGGTTCCAATTGGCTGGATCGCCCAGAAAATCCTCCACCCCATAAGCGTATACCTGCAAAAAAATCAACTGTTTAACATTAAAAAAAAAACCCCCGCCCATGGCCCCAAAGTGACGATTTAAACTTTAAAATCCCCGACGTTTACTGCCACTGCTCAACGCCAACATATCCAGGACGTACGTCCCGAACTTGGCGCAAGTATGAGAGATGGCGGAGCCATGACAGATTGTCTGAGCTTGAGTCATGGAAATTGACGCGAGCGAACCGACCTGACGGCACAGTGGCTAGTACCGCCAAAAATGCCGGTCAAGCAGTGGGCCATTTCGCAATTTATCCGCAATGTTTGCACTTCGGCAGTAAAGTGTGAATTCAATTGGAGCTCTATATTACGGCGCTCGTTTCAATTAAACTAAGTGCAAAGGGCCGGGCAATTTGGCCTGAATTGCCCGGTAATGATCGGTTACTTGTCCAACCTGGGGGGCAGGCTTTGCACTGTTAAAGCGAAACAATGCGCCCCTAGGAAATCCCAGCCGTACACGCCAATGGAAAATCGATGGCTTTGCAACAGTGTCATTGGAAGCCACAACAAAGTGTTTCTAAACTATAATAACTATGGCGGCCCGAAAATTTCGTGGTAATTTCAGCCGGCTGCCAGACTAAAGTCTAATCAAAGCAGCTCGAGTGGAAAGTTTAAGAACGCATCAGCCATAATGAGACGGCAAAGACGCCAGCGACTTTAACCCCTTTAACTCGCTAAGTGGATTTTTGCCCTTCACTTACCTTAATGGCGGCCGTTATCTCATTGACCAGGCTCTGACTGGACGTGTCAAAGTGAACACCTGAAAATCAAGATTTTCCAAATCAGTTGCATTAAGCGGCAATAATCTCCTGAAAATTCCAAACTAATATGTGTACCAGGTGCGTGAAAGGTTTCCAAACAACGTGACAAACATCCACCATCAGGGACTTAAGCGCTGTTGGATGTGTTTTCAATTTGATAATGCCGGAAAGTTCGCGTCAACTTTAAAGTCCCCGACTTTCAGTCGCAACGTAGACAAAAGCTGGCCAGGCCCCCAATGCTTAATAAGCGCGCTTTTGTAAGGGATTTTTCGAAAAATATACGCTAAAACAGCGATTTTATGCAGCAGCAAATCCCCGAGCCGAACTAAATTGTGGTTAATTAGAATCGTGACAGGCGCATAATTAGTAAATGCAGCGGCGAGTTTTCACATTTCACAAATGAGAATTGAAATATTTACGGAAAACCATGCGACAATGCGGTTTAATTCAATTTTTCTGCACAATGAAATCGAACTTTTGCGAAAATCCCGTCAAAAATTCAAGTTTCTGCTTGTTCAAGTTGCAAAAGATGCAACCATGCAAAAACCACTTGAAGAACTGCGAGTTTTTGCGTCAATTTATTGAAACTTGTAAAAAATCACAAAATAAACACTGGGCACTTTCTCCTAGTAAAGGAGATCATACACACCATTGTGCCTTAAAAGGCAAAACCTATAAGCAATTTCACTTGTCGACTGCATTAAACCGTTGACTTTCAGGGGCCGAGTTTCTTGTCCGAGAAAATCAATGGCGGTTTATAACTTTGCGCCTTAAGTGCCTTAAGACATCATTAATAATCAGGTCCGAAGGACCGTACAACCTTAGCGAATCATCAATCAAGTGGGACTTAATGTAACATGGACGACAGTTTGCTGGCTGGAAAGCAGGGACCAGAATACGAGCGCTAACAAATCAGTTGATCGCATGTGAAGTTAATTTGATAGATGAACGCTGGAATAACGTTTGGAAGATTTACATAAACGCATAGAGCATTTGAACTTTGATCCATAGTTTTCAGTGTTAACTCTTGAGCCCTGCCCGATTAAGCAGCCAAGCAGCGCTTAATTTAAATTGAAATCGAAATCACTTGCATTCGCTTCCCGCACACAGACACACACAGTAAGGTCTCGATTAATTTTAGCTGGCAATTTCCTGTTCGTCTAGCATAGCGGATATTAATTATGGAAAAACTGTACGCCTCTGCCTGCGCCTGCTGTTCAGTGCCGCACGGTACTTAAGCAGAATTCGGCCGTGTGTGGTCGCCGTTACCTTCCCATTAGCGTCGCATCTAAAGTTTCCTTTAGCAGGAAGCAGACAAAGGACCAAAATCAATATTTTACGTCTGGAATAGTCCAGTTTCTCTCTGGATTAGACCGAAACGTCCGGATTAGGGCAAAGCCAGTTCAATTCCGTAACTGTAATGTAGCTGCGACTGAGCTGATGGAACTGTGACAGTCATGGGACCAATGGGACAACGTAATACATTCAATAATGTCAACATGTTGCCTCTCGAATCCAGATTAATGTTCGTCTTCGGGAATATTTATCAATTCAAAAAAGTGGAGATTTTTGCGTTTTTCCTCCCTCGACAGAACTTTGCTCCTAACGTTTCGCTTGCACCCAAGACCACCATATTCAGATATGTGAATCAACTAATCATCGTAAAGTTTGGTCGAACTTGAATAAGAAAACTTGCCCCACTTTCAACAACAACAACTTCAACGGGGCCAATTTTCATTTTCGAACGTAAAATTTGCATTTCTGAATTGAATTTGAATAATGAAATCGTGTTCCTGGCTGAGAGATTTGAGTTGCATATTGGTTATGCAACCGGAACAGCAGCTGATTTATTGAGAGCTTTCGAGGGATTTATGGAGGCTTATCGGGTCGGATTCAATCCCGGCTGGCCGCCCGAAATGAATGGTTTTCCAATCGGCAAACTTTCATCCAGTTGATAACCCCAGTAAAAGAAATTCTTTGAGTGCGACTTTTGGAACGGAACCACCCGGCTATCTGGCAGTATTTCATACAATTTGAGGCACCAAGGAGGTTGTGAGGAGCACTTGAAGCTGCCGCTTGTGAATGGCAGTCTAGACACTTGAAGGCTCTCCTCAAAAAATTAATTCCCACCTTCAAGCGCAAGAAAAAGCTTGTTGAGTTCATGCAAACTTCATGGCAGTGATCGACCCTTAAATTCACAAAGTTTCACCCAGYCTGAGAAACGACSAAAGYGTTGAGGAGCACTTGAAGCTGCCGCTTGAGAATGGCAGTCTAGACACTTGAAGGCTCTMCTCAAAAAATTCATTCCCACCTTCAAGCGCAAGAAAAAGCTGGTTGAGTTTATGCAAACTTCATAGCAGTGATCGACCCTTAAATTCACAAAGTTTCACCCAGTCTGAGAAACGACCAAAGTGTTGAGGAGCACTTGAAACTGCCGCTTGAGAATGGCAGTCTAGACACTTGAAGGCTCTCCTCAAAAAATCCATTGCCACCTTCAAGCGAAAGAAAAAGCTTGTTGAGTTCATGCAAACTTCATGGCAGTGATCGATCCTTAAATTCACAAAGTTTCACCCAGTCTGAGAAGCGACGAAAGTGTTGAGGAGCACTTGAAGTTGCCCCTCAATAATGGCAATTTCAACATGTGAAAAGTCTCCGGCAAAAAATGCGTAACAAAGAACCAGGCCTAATTGAACACTTGACACTTCAACCGAACCATCACAGTACCAGCTGTAGAAGTTTCGCCCCCTTGAAAGCACAGTCCAATTTTTCATAAGCACTTCAGTGTCTTCTTGTCCTTGACAAAACAGTCAACTTTTAAGTCTCAGAACTGGAAAGAAACACGGGCTTAATTGTATTGGAAGCGACTGAAAGAAAAAGTATTAGGAGCCGTCGCTGTCCACCAAGGTCCAAAACAACAACAAAAAAAACCAAAAGAGGACATTGTTATTGAGCCCAAGAACTGAGCCATCCAATCACATTGTTTACCTATAGCTTGGGGAAATTTGATTTATGACCCCACTGCCCAAGGGTCATCGGGAATTAGGGATGATTAATGTAAGACCCCTGCGTCCGGGTTTTTTCCGTTGGAAATCAGCATTATTTCGGGCCGATGGCAGTCGATCGCCATTCTTCAGCTGCTTAGATACTGTCAAAAGCAGCCAGCCATCCATCCGGCAGGAGGAAGTTTTATTGGTTTAGTTTTTAAATTAAACTTCAGAGCTGACCGGCGAACTCATTTATCAAAAGTTAGTTTGCCGGTCCCGTGGGAGCGCGCGGACGCTCCTTGAAGAAGTTGGTAAAGTTGAAAATAAAAACACCGGATTTGGTCCTGCGAGCTTATGAAACATTCTATTATCTGTCGGCGGAATTGCTTTTAACAACTCCCGGCCCTGAGGAGATGGAAACATTTATATTTCATGCTTTTAGTGTTTTTTCCGTCTTGTTCGATCTGAGGCACATTATGCCGCTCTTAATGGAGTTTCGGGAACGTTTGTCGAGGAGTCTCCTCTTTCCCATACAACAAGTGGAGTTGCTGTTTTCTCGTGTTTCTCTCCGGAGAATTCGCTTGCGATTCCCAAATATTTGCATGGAAATTGCACGGTCCTGATCTGTCGTTATCAGGTCGTTTTCGCACATAACAAAGAAACGTCCTCGTCGGCCGAAGGTTCGTATCGAGGAACGCAAATAATCAAACAAAGCGGCAGATTGTTGGGAACTTTGAATGGCGCAGGGTTAAGGGCCCGTATTTTCCGCAATATTGACGCCCTCACTCCAAAGAAAAAAGTGAAAAAGTGCACACTTACCAAGCATGCCGACCGGGAACTGATTGGGGGCTTGATCGGCCGTCTCGATCACACTTTGGGTGACCACCCACACGTAGTTTTCCCCGGTTAAGTGCAGGTCACTGGCGGCCGTCAAGATGTCCACAGCCTCCTGTTTGGTGCAGTAGAGAAGCATCACGCGGGCCTCGGAGTCCACCAAGGCGGCCAAATCGCCTCGATGCGCCACCAGCACGGCATTGAGGATGGTAAACTTGAAGCGATCCTGCCGACAAATCCTGCCCTCAAGCCCTGGACGAAAAAAATCAAATGCGACCAACCTGCATAGCAGACACCCGCTCCCTGACCGCCTGGATGAAGTCGTCGTGACCTGCTATCAAGCTGGTCACCACCGAAAACTGATGCCATTTGTATCTGGAAAACATCTGGAGTGCAAAATACGCCACTGCTTACGCCGCGCTCCATTGGCTCACCGTTCCAGAATGCTGAGCATGGCGGCCGTCTGATGTTCCAGAGATGGAGCCAGCTGAAGCTGGAGCGACGACTGCGAGGCGCGACGCTCCAGGCCGGAGTTATCGGCATTCCAGGCGATCACCGGAATGCCCAAATATCCGGCCAACTGCAGGAAGTACTGGGCCGATGCAGTGCTCGGGCCGTACTGCTCGTAGTTCATCAGGTACAGAATCGCCGAAACGTTGAAGTTCAGAAACTCCTTGCACAGAGCTTTCAGAATGGCTGCAACAACAACAACCGAATTAAATAAAGTGTGCTTTTGCCGCCTCCTCCTTATGGGAGTTTTGGGGCGAATTCGATTATTCAAGAGGCCGGGAGAGTCGCGCAAGGGTTTCCTTCCACCCGTCTCTCTGGTGGAATTGAATTAATTTAAATCCGCTCTTAAGTGAAGGAGGATTAATTAATGGGGAACAGCCATCAGTCAGTTTTGAGGTTCATCTAAAGCGGAATTTGAAATTCGGTCGTCCCCAGATCCCGCCGGCTTGGGAGGACAAGTTTGGAAACAAGGCAAAGCAACGACCGCGTGTCTTCGAGTGGGTTCGTGACAATTTTCGCTCTGAAGGGGTTTCTAGTTTTGTTGGGTTAGTTGGGGTTTTGCAAGAGGATTTCCCATCGTGCAAAACAATTATTTGTCTTGGTAAATCCCTTGGAAATGGGGAATGTTTTCTTCACTTTTCTGTAAGCAAAAGGGCAAATCCCATATTCTGGCTGTGAACCGCTGCTAGTTAAACTTTTCTAAAATCGGTCCCCGAAGGAATTAAAGGCGGTTGAAACACATTAGCACTGAAATTGGCGATTTGCACTTGCCCTCACTAAGAACCCTTTCACCCAACTACCAAAATTCAACGGTCTGCCTGCCGGAGCAACTTACGGATTTTTATAAACGAGGAGCAACCATGTTGTTGAGAAATGTTCCAGAATCACCGCAGTTCTCACTAAGGAAGAACCCCCGAAAAACTGTTTAAATTACTGCGACTTTGCTAACTGTCCTACTAAAGACTCACGCAAATAGCAAAGTTCGACCCTCTACTTGCCTGCTGAATTTCTTCTTGACGTTTCGCAAGCACGAGTGGCTTGCATCTTCAGAAGTGGTTTGTTTCCACACAAGCAAACCGGTTGACAAACAACGGCAAAACAAATGAGTTCGCCGGTCAGCTCTGAAGTTTAATTTAAAAACTAAACCAATAAAACTTCCTCCTGCCGGATGGATGGCTGGCTGCTTTTGACAGTATCTAAGCAGCTGAAGAATGGCGATCGACTGCCATCGGCCCGAAATAATGCTGATTTCCAACGGAAAAAACCCGGACGCAGGGGTCTTACATTAATCATCCCTAATTCCCGATGACCCTTGGGCAGTGGGGTCATAAATCAAATTTCCCCAAGCTATAGGTAAACAATGTGATTGGATGGCTCAGTTCTTGGGCTCAATAACAATGTCCTCTTTTGGTTTTTTTTGTTGTTGTTTTGGACCTTGGTGGACAGCGACGGCTCCTAATACTTTTTCTTTCAGTCGCTTCCAATACAATTAAGCCCGTGTTTCTTTCCAGTTCTGAGACTTAAAAGTTGACTGTTTTGTCAAGGACAAGAAGACACTGAAGTGCTTATGAAAAATTGGACTGTGCTTTCAAGGGGGCGAAACTTCTTCAGCTGGTACTGTGATGGTTCGGTTGAAGATTCAACTGTTCAATTAGGCCTGGTTCTTTGTTACGCATTTTTTGCCGAAGACTTTTCACATGTTGAAATTGCCATTCTTGAGGGGCAACTTCAAGTGCTCCTCAACACTTTCGTCGCTTCTCAGACTGGGTGAAACTTTGTGAATTTAAGGACCGATCACTGCCATGAAGTTTGCATGAACTCAACAAGCTTTTTCTTGCGCTTGAAGGTCGGAATGAATTTTTTGAGGAGAGCCTTCAAGTGTCTAGACTGCCATTCTCAAGCGGCAGCTTCAAGTGCTCCTCAACACTTTCGTCGCTTCTCAGACTGGGTGAAACTTTGTGAATTTAAGGATCGATCACTGCTATGAAGTTTGCATGAACTCAACCAGCTTTTTCTTGCGCTTGAAGGTAGCAACGGATTTTTTGAGGAGAGCCTTCAAGTGTCTAGACTGCCATTCTCAAGCGGCAGCTTCAAGTGCTCCTCAAAACCTCCTTGGTGCCTTAAATTGTAAGAAACATTGTCAGATAGCCGGGTGGTTCCGTTCCAAAAGTCGCACTCAAAGACTTTCTTTTACTGGGGTTATGAACTGGATGAAAGTTTGCCGGTTGGAAAACTATCCATTTCGGGCAGCCAGCTTCCACACAAGCAAACCACTTCTGAAAATGCAAGCCACTCGTGCTTGCGAAACGTCAAGAAGAAATTCTACCGAACGACGGCCTAAAAACCCGAAAAACCCATTAGTTTCAAGGAATGGGCTTTCCTTTTTGGTAACACTAAGGATTCTTTTGATCAACTACCAAGTTTTCTCCATCGGCCGCAGTGTGGGACTTAAACACGCACTATTGTAAACGCGAATTTTATAGAGCGGTTTGAGAATTTTTGAAAAACCACTAAAACATTGGAAATTCCTGCAATTTTCCACGCTTTCTTACTATAGACTCGTCTACACAAGAGGCGAAATTCAGCCGTCTGCCGGAGTTTCGGGCTTGGGATTTTTTTAGATAAACGCGTACTTTACGCGATTTTTGATGGAAATTTGCAAAGTGTTCAACAATTACCCGGATTCCGGAAATTATTGCAAATACAAATTTTCAGCCTTCCAGCTGCAGCACTTTGCAACTTATGATTTTGTTCGGCCAAGCGCGGTCTATTAAAAAAGGAATTTTTTAAGAAAGTTTAGGAATTTCTCAAAAATCACCGGCAAATTGAAAAGTACTGCGACTTTGTAAACCATCTTACTAAGGATTAATTTCCCCAAAAACCAAATTTCCGCCCTCTACGTACCGGAGTTTGCTACTAATGAATTTTTTAGGCAAACACGCACTATTGAAAACGCGTCTTCCAGATCAAAGTTCGAAAAATGTTCAAAAATCACCGGAAATTTGTAAATAATACTGCGCTGTTCCAGACTGTTTCACAAGGATTGATTATCAAAGTGCGCATAATTTAAAATACAGTTACTACACGAAAGTTTGAAAAATTCTGGAAAATCATCCAAAACCTGATTTTTACGTTGCCACGTTAAAAGACACTCTTTTAACGTGGCAAGAAATGTGAAACTTAACTGCAAAAAAATCAGGTAAAAGCAGATGTTTTTTCCTTAAAACAGTGCAAAAGCTGTTGGCTTGGTCCATAATGAAAGATTGTCCGTGGACAGGAAACGGACGCTGTGAACGTGGAAAAAGCGGAACGAGCCCGAAGTGGTCGTGAAGACCGAGGGTGAAACGTGGACATTTGAATAATGGCCCGTCCGGAATGAAGGGTGAAAGACCAGGAAATAATCCGGCTCGGAAATACGACATCGCATTATCCAGTTTCTTCCAGCCGAATTTTTCCTAGCAGCTGAGTTAAACCGGGCGATTTGCTGTCGGCATAAGCCCACGAACGGCAAATATTTTCTCAACTCCTAATGTCGCCCATTAGACCAGTTTTGGATGGGCGGAAAGTGAAAATCTGTCTATGAAAAACTAGACGTTTTAACCGGCACATGCCTGACGAGTCTGCTCAAATTGGCCCAAGATCGTAAATTTCATTGCCCCATATTTTCTCCTTTTGTGCCACGATATAGATGTCTTGGAGGTACTTAATTTAAACTGCTGGCGCATTATGGGAGCTTCCTGCGCCCCATTTGTTCCGGCTAAGAGCCGGCATTTGTTGCGGTTGTTCCTGCGGCTCTGATAATTAGATACATTCAATTTTGTTCCTTTCTTTCGGCCCCGTTCGTCGATAATCCGGATTGATCCAAGAGCGTTCTGCTAAGGAAATTGGCAAAATCATCAAGCTCCATCGATATAATCCGCAGCTCCAACATTACAAATCGCTTCGTTTGCTGACCGGCAGAAAACTATTCGAGATTTGGGGGAGAATTTCAATTATCCATCAACGGATTTGGACGGAACGCTTCCATCGAATGTCGCGCTTCACGGAATGCTGGTTTCCTCTTGGCCGCCCAACATGCTATTCTAGATTCTAGGGAGAGATTTCATCGAGGCGCGGTTTTGAACTCAGAGCGAAAAGAAGTCGCTTAATACGCTCCATTTCACTAACTAATAGTAGACGCAATCAATACCGCGGGATTAAAGTCGGAAAACTCCAGTAATCCCACCACTATTAGCCAACTTTCCAGTCGTATAATTCGAGTAACGAACGGTTAAGCAGCGTTCTGCTGGAAATTAGCCTTTTGTGCGAAATTTGTGAGCTCACCAGGAAGCAGCGCCCTCGAAAACTTCCGGGCCCCATGCATACATTAAAGTTCCGCGAAATGGAGCCGCTCTATAAAAGTCGCTGTTTTCGCCTTAATTTTCGCAATGTTTAATGCACAGAACAAAAGGCCCATTAAGTTTTATCAGTTTTCCAAGTAAACAGAGGCTCGGGTAAGAGAATGAGCCAATGTTGCGGCCGCACTGATAAAACCACATCAGTGAAATGATTGACGTTTTTCGCGTTTTTGGGTGAAAATCGAGAATTATTGCCGGCGGATTTCGGTCCAGTGGACTGGAAATCGCGAAGTTATTCAACGAAAACGACAGAATTTCCAGTCTTTGCTCGGCAACCGTTCACAAAAACTTCCGCACCTAAAGAGAAAGTTTTGGTTGAATCCAAGAAATACGGGAATTGTGTACAATTGGCTTTTTTATAAAACTCAAAGTCCAAGTCAGTTGGACATATTTGCAACCTGTTTATTTTTTCAATTTTTCAAGAGAAGCGCCTCCAATTTATTTTGCAATTTTTTGATGAAATTTCGGGAATTTTCAAAAAATCAACAAACAGTTGGAAATATTTGCAACTTGGCACCCTTAAGGGCTAAGGCTTCTTTTATCCAAATTGAAAGTTTCAACCCGCTAGCTTGCAACTTTGCGTTGCTACTTGAATATGCACACAATTGCTTTATGCAGTTTCCAGATGGAAGTTTGGAAAATTCTCAAAAATTAACTAAACTCGGGAAATATCTGCAACTTGGGACACTTAAGCTCTAACTCTTCCTCCATTCAAATTACAGATTTCAATATTTTACCTGCCGTAGTTTGCCACTTGGGAATTTTTTTCTTCACCGTCCACACCAGTTC